ACAGTTGACTAACGGAGTATTAGTCAAAGTATGAAATAGCACTTATGAAAATAGTAACGGTTGACTAACGGAGTATTAGTCAAAGTATGAAATAGCACAAATACAATTGTGTAGGTATGTATTCGCACAGGTCACGAATACAACTCCGTACCGGGACCGTGTACAACAGTGCGGGTATGAATCGGTCATTTCCCCCCCAAATTGATGATGTAGGGGTATGTTCTGTAATGCGGGTCGTAGGGACCGTGTACAACAGTGCGGGTATGAATCGGCCGTTTCCCCCCAAATTGATGATTAGGGGTATGTTCTGTAATGCGGACCATAGGGACCGTGTACAACAGTGCGGATATGTTATGTAATGCTCACATTTGCTAGATTTTGATAGACAACTATCAGATTTTATGCAAACAAAAAAAAACTAGGATTAAATTTGTTAGCAATCAAAATAATTTTGAGTCAAACTATTTTTAAAAAGTTTCCAAAAAAATATACGGTGATTGATAATTCGGTTTTATGAAGAGAAAACTAGATTAAACTTACTAACAGTCAAAATATTTTTAAAGAGTTTCCAAAGAAATATTCGGTGATCGATAATTTTGATTTTATGAAGAGAAAACTAGACTAAACCTACGAGCACTCAAAATAGTTTCGAGTCAATATTTTAAAGAAGTTTCCAAAAGATACTGGGAAAATTGTTCGATTTTAAATAGAGAAAATTAAATTAAATTTGTGAGCATTCAAAATAGTTTCGAGTCAAACTTTTTGAGAAGAGTTTCCAAAAAGATACTCGAAGATTGATTATTTTTCTTTATGCAGAGAAAACTAGACTAAATTTGTTAGTAGTCGAAATAGTTTCGAATCAAACTATTTAAATGAGATTCCAAAAAATACTCAGAGATTGACTATTTGGTTTTACGGAAAGAAAAAACTAGATTAAATTTGCCAACAGCCAAAGTAGTTCTTCATTAAATAATACTCTCACGATTGGTTACCCAAGATGGAAGTGAGTTGCTTACAATAAAACAAAAAAAAATTTGAGCGAGTTGAGCAGACTAAACAATGTCTTCAGATTTGATAGTCGAACCAGTGATAAGGAGAAGGTCTGGAAACGCACTTGTAGTTCGTAAATCATTAGTTGAATACCACAAAGACTGGCCATTCCTCTTGTGTCTGCAAAATTTGGATCATATTAAAGCAATATGTCTCAAAGTTCTGATAATCGACATTGATATAGAAATTTCAGCTTAATTTCTAATAAATGTGAAAAGTGTGATCATTAATCATGAGTTGAATTAAAATCTTCTATTGTTAAATCTCTATTTCAATTAATATATGAAATTAATTACTTTATTTGCATCGAGTTTATTTATTACCTAATTATATAGAAAACAAGTATATATATACTTGTACAGTATACTTAGTATATGTATGATACATGTGCTTGAAACAAATACAAATACCCACATATGCCTAGTTTCCTATATATATACAATGATCCTCATGATCTATTACCATAGTTCACTCACACAAAGTCCAAAACTTTAGCTCCAAAAATAACAAAAATTTGTCAATGATGATGAAGAATCCAAACAAATACTCAAAGATAGAGAAAGAATATCCTAATGAGATGGTCCATAGGAGAGCTCAGTTTCTGATCCACAAGATTCTCCAACGAGCCGACACAGAGTCATTAAGGCAACAGCAGAAGAGAACTACTACAATCAAAATGTCGTCGTTTAAAGTTGTGGGAATAAAAATGAAGATTGGGAAGAAGCTGAGGAAGCTAAGAAAGAGTTGTGTAATGGCAAATAAACATGGTGATGATCTTTTGCTACGTGTTGTTAAATCTCTTAAACGTTATTTCTTCTGTTCTTCTTCTCAAAACGTTTCTGATGTTCCTCCTCGCTTCACTCTTCATGTTTGAGTACCTTTGTTGGAAAATAAATTATTTATTTTTTCTTATCATAGTATGAAATAATAACTCGTGTTGTATTATCAACTTTTCTTAGGAGTCTTCGACTATAGATGAACCGTGTAGGTTAAGAATTGATTATAAGAATAAGGATTTTAGATTCGTATATAATGACATCCTTTTGTAGTTCAACCTATGAATTTGAGATAAAAACTTTGTGGCTCATCAAGTTTGTTATTAGGGACTGAGAAAAGAGATACTTATATAGTCGAACTAGAAAAGTAACAAAAAATGGTGGGATTTCTTAGCAAAACAATAGGTTGTTTGCAGAGCCGTGCCATAGTATTAGGGAAAGAAACATTCGCTTAGGGCATCATTTTGAAATTAAAAACTTAGTAACTTTTTTTTACATAGGCCTACGTTTAATAATATGTATATGTAGTATTATGGGCTGCTCACAATAAGAAAGGTTCGTTAGCCCATTAGTTAAAGAATTAGATTAAAATGACTTTTAAAAAAGTTAAAGAAAAAAGATTATTAATCTTAAAAACCTAGAGAAACAAATAAAGTTGTCGTCTTCTTGTTCCTTGCGATCGATTGAAACTAAGAGATTCATATTAAGAAGAAAGATTTTTCATTATACTTTCTCTCATAAATCATCATAATCAAAGGTAAAATAATTATTTCTGTTTTTTATTCTTTCCAATAACTTTGTTATATTTTTCAACTATTTTTTCCCAAATTGTTAATGGTTTATAGTTATTTTAATTCATAACCTTACTTTTTGATAGAAAGATGTCATCAAACAAAAGACATCA